CACTGTATTTCATGGTAAAAACTCGTCGTATCCTAACGTTTTGCATGCTTATAGTTTCTTTGAAGTAAGCGTTTATAAAATAGAAACACGATTTCGGGGTAAACAAATATTTATAAAGTTTGAAAATATTTTGGAATAGTTTCCTATAGAGGCAGCGCTGTATTTACTTCAAATGGTATTACAGTTGTATGGCTGATACTGCAGTTACTTTATGAAACTTACGTCTCTTCCGATCGAAAACTTCACGACGTTATAACGTTAACATTTTGTAAAGAAACTATGGATTTATGTATTAATGAAAACTATAATTCAATGCACACTTCTAATTAGTACAAATTATTTCATATATGGACTGGAGCCAATAGCTCTAAGTGGCTAATGTCACTTAGAGCTACCGAATAAATTATATAAGTTTCATTCTTTCTCCGCAGAAAAATGTACCGATTGCTGTGTGACGTCAATTTGCGGGAAAATCGAAACTATAAATATTTTATTTAAATTTGGTTTTTAATATTTGTTCAATAGACTTCAATCAAATAAATTCTTCAATTTACCGTAATAATGCCGAAGGATAAAAGCTCTGGTTTGGGGTTATTGAGAAAATGTAGTGACGAATATCTAGTGAAAACGGAATTTTCACACGTGTAAAACGTTAGTGTCTTAAAACTCGTGTAAATTTTCACAGGTTATAGGTGTAAAAAATTCACCGAAGTCATATAAGCAACACGATACAGCTCTTAGTCAAATAAAAAAGAAATACCAAATTAACACATTACAGACGTATACAAACTGTAAATAAATTAATAATAATACACTTCTAATTTTTGAACTGTCACAAAATATTTGTCAACAGTAACCCCATGGTTATTATTTGATATTCTATTTGTTACTTAGTAGATGTAACAATTACTATTTCTATACGTGTCTGTATACATTGATTAATAGCACTGCATGGCAGAATAAAACTACCGAAACACTACTTCAGCGCATTCAAATACAGGATTTTGATACACGTAGATTCAAAATAACTAAAACTGGATTACATAAAGATAATTATAATCAAAGAATCAAATAAACTTAATAATTCCGAGACCAATTATAGTATAAGTGTCTTTATCACCAAGAATTAAATTTATTCTGATATTCTGATTCAGTTATTATTGATTACCGTTTATTTCATAACATGTTGCAGAGATTTCTTATATTACGTGAGGATTTTATTTTAAGTCACTAGTACCGAATTTAAATTTCACGTAATTTAAAGATAATTCTGCTACTTTCACTAGTAAAACATTCAAAAGTGCGAGTGAATTTCATCCCACTAACAGACAACACATGAAACTGATGAATCGCTCTGTAATTATAAATAGTTTTAATATGGATAAAATGCAAATAAAAAACAATTCGCAAAATGTTTTCTTCGTAAGAAAATTCAATGTTAAAAACTGAACATTGTTTTATGAAAATTGTTAGCTTATTACTTATTACTATTGTGAGAATTCGCGTGAATTTTCAAGCTTCGATAATCTCCAGTTTTTTTTTCGGAAATTAAAGCTAGATCTTTTGACCTATCAGTGTGCTGCGTCACTTAGAAAAGGTGACCTTCTAGACTTTTAAAGATTTTTAGGACAACCGAGGAAGTTCTCCCCTCACCACGGGATTATCCATTTCCATCTTTGTTACAATGTACAAATAAGTCGCCAACTAACAAGAACCCTCACCTGTTATATGATAGAGTGTAACAAAAAGGTCAACTACAAGGGTGGACCGTACTGAATAAATCCTCCCTCTCCTTATGCTATCCGATTAAAATGATAAGAAAATATATCAAATGACTCAAAATTACACAACCATCACCCAGGTGGCCCGCAGATATTCTGACCTTAGCCATTTGTGGAAATTAATTCAGTAGGTTTGTCAATTTTATGATGAGAAAGTGTCACAATAACGGGTATAAAATGTAATAAATCAAAAGAACCGTTCGATTCCTGGACAAGTAAAGTAAACAACTCTTGACGCAAGTCGAACTTACATGCGATTGCATCAGATTTTCCCCCGATAATTCCCCGTCCGGGACGTGTATAAAAAGGGGTCGCACTTGCACCTCAGGGCGGACACCCACAGCGGACGTCCACAGCTGAGAGGACATCACCAGCGGACATCAGGGGACACCAGACACATACCGCCATTTCGTCCGTCGCTAATCCTGTCTTCCCGCCATCATCACCGCTGGACTTTCTCCGAACCTGACCTGATTGAGAGAATAGGACCGCCGATCCGGGTGCGTTTCACCAACGTTCTGTACAACGAGATCGGGAACCGAGAGGTAATCACATAGCCAAATATTCATACTCTCTCTTCAGTTCCTCGTCTCTCTCTCGATCATACCTTGGACTTAGGCTAGATAATTATACGACTAAGAAGTATTTTTGAATTATTCCCTTTTTGTAACCTTTTGATTTGTACTCGTTTGTATAGCTTTAGATAATTAAATATGTTTTTCTTATATATATAATTATGTGTCGTCCTTGAGTACGACCGACGCCCTGTCAACTTACTCGCGATCCTCCCCACTCACATTTTTTGCCCTCCTACAAAGCCTCTTCGGCAGAGCATCCGGTAAATGGGGAGAAGCTCGTCGCTCTAACCCTCGGTTCTCACACTATTAATCTCGCTGTAAATTGCAAACAAAAATTAATTTAAGAAAAATATCGACTGGTCAGTTGCAGCAAGAAACTTTATTAAAATCCTCCATAAAAATAACAGTTAAAGAAGTAAACTTTTCAGTGTGTTTATGGTAAACTTTCTTCGGGTAGCGATGAACAATACTGTATATCGTATATAAACGTATGATGGTCAACATGCTTGAATAGCGGCAGAGTATAAATAAAAATTAAGTTTTCATTATTTTAGCATTCGTTTTAAATACGTCCTACCATCCAAGACACAAAATATATTCCCCTAAACCTGGTAACGATTGCCATAAGAAGAGGGCAGAAAATTGCCGTAATAGAAACTGAACACATTGACGGTAGAGTTTTTTACATTGTGGTTTTAAAAATATATATTTGCTGTTTACAGGAACAAATTCGGTATACGCCGAAACTGTATGTAAGGGCTGTTGTCCGACACGGTCTCAAGAAACAACTCATACAAATTTTCTCTTGGATATTCGAATTCATTTCGCAATAGTGGCTTAAACTATAAAACAATGTAATACTTACTCTTAAATGTAGGTTATATAATAATTTTGATTGCCCATAATTCTATTCGCATATAAAGTTGCTTTAAGAGAAACTAAATTAAATTGTAATTATAAGCCGACGTTTAATTTTGCTTTACTAATTAAAATGTATTTACTTGTTTACCATACCAGAGAATTTATAAATATTTAATAAAATCGTGATTATCTTAGTAAATTAAAATGAGATCGATGGTCACAAGAATCGCTATTTTCGAAGCTTATTAATTAAGAAGACATTACTCGCTTAAAATAAAACTTAAAATAGTTCAAGCATTGGTTATGTAACAGTAAAGATGTATTCACGTGTGTCTTCGTTGAAATTTTCACTTCGTTACCGTTCATGCTTTTTGTACAAACACGAAACCTCGCGAATTATCATATTCGTGTAACAATAAATCGTAACTGTTCAAGCATCACGTGAAATGGTCATCTCTATCGATTCCCTGCACACCGAACTTATTTTTACTTAATTGTTTACTTTTATTCAAAACTGTTTCAATGTTCTGTTTGCTTTCTCGTATTCATGCGAAATGTTCTTTGATATTTAAATTAATTTTCCATTATTTTTAACGAATTTAAAAGTAAAACACAGAACATATCTTCTAAAATTCATAGGTGCTATAATGCCAGTAATTGAGATCACTCCTACAAACAGTTTTATAATGGAACATATAGATGTTCCACTATAAATTCATGCTAAATAATATTAGTACTTTCACAGACTTCAATTTATTCATTGGACTGCAATTTGAAACGATCGTAGATCTATATATTCCGAAAGTTGTTTTCTTTACGTCTGCCTGTCTTTCCTTAGTCTCAAGTTCGATGTTAGGTAGATAAACGTTGAGAACATATATGGTAAGAGAAAGGAAAGGAAACCCAGATTAACAATATTCTGACCTCAGATTTACATCGGAAGTCAAATGCTTTCATTTCAAATATTACCCGTGGAACAAATTTACATAACTGACCGGCATGACACCGTTGTTATCAGAAAAAGTATTATGTACAGTAGAAGACACTACCGCTGAGAGAATTGTGACAAAAACTTAATAAATACAAGTGAATATATGTAAATTAATAGTGTAATTAATAATATCAAAGTTACTTTAAAATGAAATTTATTAACAGCCAGAAAACTTACGGGAATAATTGGTGGACATTTTAACTGAATATTTTGAATTTTCTATATACTTTAACTGTTCTTTTGTATACTATTTTAAGTTTCAAAGTGTCGTGTATTGAAAATCAAGAAACACGTCTATTTTTTGAGTTTCCATTTTAATTCCAAATATTGGCGTTGTATTGTTGATATATTGAAGTATACATTATTTAAAATTTTAATATGTATTAACTTTCTCTTATATAATTTTTCTATGCTTTTATTCAATTCTTTGTTAAATTAATATCATGATACTTCTGTTTAATTAAAATTACAATTGCAAATGATACTAAATAGTAAATTATTCATTAAATCTGATTCCACACGAGACCCAAAATATGACACTCCTTTTTCTTTTCATCCACCAAAATTTAATAGCATCAGTCTCTCTAACAGCAAAACTCACTAAAAACTTCAGAAATTATCGACAAAGAAAATAGAGTTATTATGTTTCGAATATGGTGAGGAAAATCGTGACATCCCACACACACTGACTTTATACAAACAGAACAAACACCCAAATCATTTCCGTTATAGAGAAGATTGTATGTCGTTCTCTTTTCAATTATTCTTACAATTAAGCAGACATGCACAATTAAGCACGCTCAATATAATCAAAATATAACAATGGAGTTATTACATTGTTTCGGAGCATTGTTGTTTTTTTGTCCTCGAAATTTCGACTTTCAATTAAAATACTGAATTTATTAATAATTAAATTAAAATAAGCAAAATCGTAATGGTAAGTGAAATTTATCATTCCATCCATACGATATATTTTTAATTTCCCAAACTTTCTTATTAAAAATTTAAGAAATAACACGAAGTTTCAATTTTAATTTTTTATCGAAGATTCAATGCATATTATGAAAATTTTAACATAACATTATAATATATAACAATAATTTATATTGTGGTGAATAATTTTTAAGTTTTTCACTAATTATTAATTTTTGTTCAACGAATTATTTTAAAAGGACAGAAAACATCAATGTCCGACCTGCGGCAAGAAATATCGTAAATACGATTTGAAAGAGCACATGAGAACTCATACGGGCGAAAGGCCGTTTAAATGCAATTTGTGCGGAAAAAGCTTTTCGCATAAGAGTAATTTGACACAGCATATGAGTGTGCATTCGAATGAAAAGCCATTTAACTGTCATTTGTGCGAGAAAAGCTTTCCAAGTAAGAGATGTTTAAAACAACATTTGATAGTACATTCGGATGAAAGACGGTTCAAGTGCAAATACAATAGATGTAAAGAGAGCTTTAAACGGAAACGTGATTTGGAACAACACACGTTTGCGTGTCATTCGAATGATATTTTATCTAAAGTAAATATTACCAAAAGTTTTTATATTATTATTCTTATATTTCGATAGTTAAAGCGATGCAATTTATATAATTAGCAAATGAAACACCTTTTACATTACCCGATAAAATTATATAGGGTAATGTAAAGAATTTCACAAATAGTAATCAATAAGTCTGTACTAATTTACAGAAACCGAGCGTAAAATAATAAAACTGATAAGCAATTTTAATGAATGTTGATATTGTTTAAAATTCAGTAAAATTTTCTCTTTTTTATATCGGTTTAGAATTTTATTCAAAAATTGTGAATTCATTAGATTCGCTTGCATTTTTCGAGTAAAACTATCGTCTCGAATCACAACGTGACAATCGATAACTTAAACTTCTTTATGTCGGAATTAGTTGTCATAATAAATACATTGGTGTAATTAACAATTAATATTATGGATAATATGAATTACAACTTTCGATGAGTTTAAATTATCACAAGAATCGTTTATTGCAATTACTATTTTTATAGTTCATAAAATAAGATATATTTTCTACGTATTTTTTTCCATTTTACAAAATAAAACACCAGAAACTAGTATTTATTGAACCCGTAATGTTATTAGGTTAAAATTACAAAATATATTGTTTTCTCTTCACGATCAATTATCATTGTATTCGAACGAAGTTCAAGATTTATTGAATAATTGAATATATCAATAATAACATCATGTAAACAAATAGTTATTTATAAAACAATTATTTAACAAATAATCTTCTCAACTCCGCTTTTATAAAATAATTTCTTGAAACATTTTTTTAAAATTTTAACCAGAATTTACTGCTTAAAATTTTCAATTTATAAATCTTTGAAATAAACGATTCACAAACATTTATTCTCATAAATACAACATTTGTACTTACAGAATTATATTTAATACGTTAATATATTCTGATCATATAAATCAATCCATAATTAGATTCCGTTGAATGACCCGATGATAACAAGCCGTTATTGTGACATTTGCAAAAAACTATGCGCATCACCCGCTGCTTTAAAAAGCCACATGAAATTTCACACCAGAAAGCTGCCATTTTCATGTAATATATGCAACGAGAAATTCAGATATAAATATCAATTAAACAGACACAATCAACAGTTTCATTCGGGAGAAAAACCTCCAACTTGTTCCCAGGTAAGTGTACAAATATTTCTAATGACTGAGAATTCAACAAATATATTAACACCTCCATTCGCGAACTAATTCTGGATTAAATAACCATTTAAAGCATAAAATCCGATATGTAATAAAGTCGTTTTCCCGAATTCATAGGTTAATAAATACAGAAATAAATTAGTTGACTTTATTTACTTATGTAGATATGTTTGTGTACAGTCGACCCCCCTATAAGATCATTGATTTTTCCGTTTTATCTGAATTACATGTTGTACGAGTCACTTAGATTTTACAAATACATGTGCCGGGCTGTGAACGGCTCACATATTTGTAAAATCTAAGTGACTCGTACAACATGTAATTCAGATAAAACGGAAAAATCAATGATCTTATAGGGGGATCGACTGTATACATTCGAACAATCGCCGGTTTATGTCGACAAGCACAGATAAGCTTTGGTGATAAGATAAATTTGTTCGGATTGAAGAGACATTTACCTATTTAACACAACCAATATATTTAATTACCAATACACAAATATGATCTCTGCAGCAAGCTTGTAATTGCTTTTAGAAACTTCATTGCAGGAACTTGTATAAAAAGTGGTTTGATATCCAAAGTCACAAAACGTGGCTGAATTTCTTATTTCACTGATTTTCCTAGATATTATATAACTGTCAGATGCAAAAATCAAATTGGATCAATTTTGGCATTTTTACTTACACATATTTTAATTTTTTTTCTATATTGTAAGTTTATCTTCAATCTAAGATATTTCCATATAAATAATTATATTTTCGCTCATTTGTGGCACATTGNAATATATATTGTTGATGGAGGTCATATTTTTCTATTATAAAAGCATTTTTGCGATAAAATACATTGGAGTAAATAATTTTGTAATTATTTAACATTTTTTGTCCGTTCCTATTTGTTTTTGGCTACATTAAAGCATTTTTTTGAAAATATACAGTAAGGTTCCATATTACCATCCGATTTTCTCTAAGCCTACTTTCAGACTTTTTGTAGAAAAGCCTTCAAAAACCATACTTATAGTTATGAATTATTGAAATCATATATTTATTTATGAATAAGTATATGATTTCAATAATAACAATTATTCCACTAATGTATAATATAAAACTGTTTTGCTGTATTGCTTATCGTTAATATTTTTTTTTTTTTTTACTTTTCAAGCGATTTAAAGAACAACAATACAAAGAACATGGTGATTTGAGGACTTCTAATAAAACATCGTCTTCACCCGTACAAACAAATAATGATAACAAGAATGATGAACAATGTAAAGAAGATCACAAGGACGATCATCTTGAATCGTCGGTTATCGTATTTCAATGTCATTTATGTTCGTTCAACACTCGCTCGAATCAGAAATGGTTAGAACATAGGCAGTGTCATATGGAAGAAATCCCTTCCACCTCAACGGTAATTATTCCGTTCATTTTTAAAAATAAATTGTATTTTTAAAAATTCACTTTAATTAAAGAGAATTGTATATTTTGGTTTACTTTTTAAATTTAGCATAGTTTACAAATAACTGTTAAATGACGTATGAACTTCATGTAAACTAACTGGTGTAATTGGTGACTTGTTGATTCACTTCGAAGGAAGTATTTTTTTTTTCACTTGGGATATTGGCATAATTGCATATTAACTTTGCAACCTTATAACAAATTATAGTTCTGTCTATCAAACAATATTGTAGATTAACATAAACTTTATTAAATAACTGTAAATTACATAATTAGCGATAAATGTAATTTACCATTTCTTATACGTATTCGTTTGTTCATGTAGATAAATACGATAAATCGTATTTCACTAATTATTCAAATTTACCGAACATTAGGCATAATCGCCACTGGAAAAAATAAAATTTAATAAATAATCAATTTTCGTCGCGAATTCATAATTTATTCAATGTGTGCAGTTCATAAACAATAGATCGTGGTGTTAAATAGAGTCTTGATGAAGTCATGTTTGGTTCACCCTTACGTGTTGGACCGAAGACAATGTCTCTTCTTATTGATGCTGTAGCAGATGTTCGAACCGAAGATTAACAACGACTAATAATTGAATCACTACATCCACATCATTGTAAATTACAAAGACCCTATCAATATATTTTAGAAAAAATATTGAAAACGAACAGCCGTCAATTACGAATTCCGATGTAACTATTCTTCGTCAATTTAACTACATTCCGCTATGATCAATCTTTCTATAACCAAGAACCGAAAGGAATAATGTTGAGAAAAAGTCAGCGAAGGCAAAGGCGAGATTAGATGCTCAAGCCACGAAAGTGAAAACAATATCAAAACCCAAAGTAAAAGGTACAATGAAGCTAAAAATACCGGATATAGATAGGGCAAGAGATAGAAGCGAAACGGGGAATATATTGGCAGTGATATTAGCTACTGAAATTTCCGAGTAGTGTCACTTGAGAAAAAATGACGGATATTTTCACGCTGTGTATCAGAAATCTATCTGTGCTATGTGACTAACAATTTCTTACAAAGTGATATTTGGTACATTTCCTAGTCTTTTCCTGAATGCACAAGAAAAACATCGATTTTGCGAAGTGTTCCTGTAAAAAAATGTAATTTAATTTAATGAAAAAAAAGAAAAAAAATTAAAACTATATGCTCCTTAAAATGGCTCAATGTTTGTCATATTTCAATAAGCAGTAAAATTTAAGAAAGTTGTATATTTAATCTAAAAGAAAATTTTCTGTTTTCCTACATATAATTCTAATATTAACCTGAAGTAGAGAAGTAGATTATTCGTAGTTTCCTATATTGATTGCAATATTCAATTATTAATAAAAGAAAATTACATTTTCGATTTATTTTATTATAATTTGTTTACATCCATAAAAACTTTATTACAACAAATAAAGACGAGAAATTTCGTGATATATGTGAAAATTACGAAAAAAAAAGTGTTCTAGCAGTGGCATACTCAGAAATAGCTCTCAAACTTACAAAATTCACCTCGGAACTAATTTCCGGTTTAAAAAATAAATTTATGGAAATTTATCAAACATTTCTATTTTCAATAACGCCCAGGAAATATTTCGGATGTGCGAAAATTCCACTTATTAAATTTTTAAAAGGATATGTATATTTAAGTATAAAAATTTTAAGAAATTATTTTTTCTTACAGGCATCGCAAGAAAAGGCGGATGAAGAAGTACAAGCCGCCAACACACTGCTATTATTAAGAGAAGGAGGATCGAACAGAAGGAAATTGAACATGTTAGAGGCTGACAAGCATCTCTCTCATTCAAATAAAGCTTTGACTGAACAATAATTGATAAAACACAAACTGAAGAAAATATAAATCAATTTTTGTCGCATTTATACTCTACGAAATTACGTAAATCAACTAATTAAAAATATTTATATCAAATACTGTAAGGTCTCGTTTTATGCGGTGGATACGTTCTACAGAAAAGCGCATATAAAAAAATTCGCATAAAAAAAGACTTTACTTGCCTTGAAAAAGTAGGGATACATTCCGTAATTTTCTAAAATGGCATAAAACCAAAACAATGAGTTAAAATTAACTTAAAACCGCATAAAAAAGTTTGCAGAAATTAAAAGAAATAGACTGCTTAATAAATTACTTCGATTGTCTGAAAGAAATTCTTATAAAAGATTAAAATACTCAACTCTAAAAACAAATCACTGACATCTGGATGTGAAGGGTTAACACCTTTAGTTCCTCGCCCGAGTTAACTCGTCAAGGATACATAGCGTTACGTAAAATTCGGTAGTTAAGGCCACTTTTGACAAAAATTTTTTTTTTTCAATTTTTGGAATGTTTTTTAGGTCCCCAAATTTTTTCAAAATTTTTTGTCCGCGCGAAAAAATTTTATCGCGATTTTGATGAGCCTTTGATAAGGCTCGATTAAGGCTTAATTGTTTTTTAATGGGAGTTTTTTTTATCAAATTCTGTAATGAGCACTTTTCGGCTTTCTACGATTTCTAAGATTATTTATATTATAATTAAAAATTATGAATGAAACTAAATTAATTTCCTTTATATCATTAACTATGAAGATTTGCTGTACGTGCCGATAATAATACAAATTTATTATTAAAATCTAACTACCGGATCTCTTGCAATCTAGTAGTTCATCGTCTTCCATGCCTTCTTCGTTTTCCTTTTCACCTCTGCCTTTTTTATTTTTTGGACAAATTTTCAGTAATAACGACAAAATACAGAAAAATATTCAATTAAAAATAGTTAGATAATAACTAACCATTTATATTCCGTATTTCTCTAAATTTCCAAAACTTACAAGAAATTACATTTTTTATTGTTTTGTTCCTATATTTATCATATCTGTGACGGCTAAAGTTAAGGACTTATCAAACAATTTTTTAGAAAAACTTCAATTTCCAGTACAACACAGAAAAAACCTGTATGTAATTTTACAGTTAGATTAAATGTTAAAACGTTTAATGATGAAAAACGTAGAAAAACGAAGCTTTCTGCATCACATCTAACAATATAATGAAAAGAAAAGCAACTATGAAAATAAGAGCGATTTATATAAAGTAGAGCGACTTACCAGTATATATAAAAACTAATTCCCGTAATGCAAAGTGTGAGCCCAAAGGGTTACGAGACCCAAATTTTTATAAATGTGTAAACTGCTAAAATAGTTTTTTCGAATGTTTAATGTAAACATCGGTCAATAGAAAAGCGCGGAGAACGGATCGGATGTCGCTTCTAATGTCAACAATCAAGTGGGAAAGTTGACACTTACAAGTTAGTCGTAAAAGAATGCGAGTCATCGTCAACAAAGGACAGACTTGTGACCCATTTCCCGCCATAATACTATAGAAGCTGGAGTCACCGGAAACTCAGGGCCATCGACACAGGAAGTTATTTTTTAGTTAGTGTCCATTTTTGTCTTCTGTCTCCCGATCCTTTCCGAGAAGACAACGGAGGAAAAAACTTAAGATTCCATATAAGATCAATCGTCACATATGGTTCCCCATTAAGACTGAGAGGTATTTTTGCTAGAAATCTGGGAACTCTCTCTCTCTCTCTCTCTCTGTGATAAGGAAATTAGGCACGCGACATAAAAGTTAAAGTAGTTGCTGGTCATTTTTATAAATAATTTGCATTTTCACCGCATTTAACCTTATTTAATCTGTATAATCTGCATCTATGTTTAGTCTTAGATATTCAATAAACGCTTTGTTGATTTGTGGAAACCTGTCAAATTGTTTATCATCCCGCTCGTTTTTTGCCCTCCTATTGCCATCCGACGACACCGACGTCGGGTTTTAACAACCCGTGCCGATTAAGTAGTTAATAGGGCACCCCGTACAGCCCCCTGCTTATCTCACAAAAGTGTGCAACTCGTAAAATTTTTGTTCATTTTGTAAAGGTTTATAAAGCCTGGCGTTGCTTCGTTCTTTGATCAGAGTAAACTTAAACGAATACAATATGTTGGAAGAATGAGAGGCGAAACTTAAGGGAAAAAAGATAAACCAAAAACAAACGACAGAATGGACGAAAAAGAGCGTTCGGAGAGCCATATTGGATGACAAAAAAATCGCTCGTGCAATATCTAAAGATATTCGAAAATTTGTAGTTGAGCACAGAGAAGAAGGGAAGACAGTGAATGAGTTAAGCACCAATTCTTACCAATTAACTCAATAATATATTGTACTCAGAGGAGTAGTTACCGTGGAACAGTTGGAGCAAATTGCTCCAGGCGCACGAATCATGGGGATTCCAAGTTAGATGGGTCGAAATAGAACTTTGTAAAAACATTTGTAAAAAAATGTATACATTTAATAATTAATCAATTAACTATTAGATTTGAATCCGTTGGACACTTTTAATAATGTAAAAACCATTGATAATTCCATTGATTTCAAATGCATTTAATAAAATTTCACAATTGATGGTTTTAATGCTACTACATCTGTAAACAGTCGAAGAGGTTTTTTCAATTTCGTTTGATAGTAAATGATGATCGAAGGAATAATATCAGATTCTAAAACAGCTTTTTTTAAACGAAAAAAGTGATTGGATATCTTTTCTATTATATTTTTTTTGGAAACGTTGTTCTTTTCTTTTAACGTGGCATCAGGTCAACACAGTTTGATAAGCGATTTTTGTCTATTGAATATTGTATATTAAACAGTCAGTGGAACTTTTTGAATTGCCAGAAGCGAGTTTGTGAGCTCTTGGATAATCGCGAAGTTTTCTAAGGATTACGAAGTGTTCCTTCGTAATCCTTAGAAAACACTATCTTTACTTAAGTGTGTGGAATATTTAGATTTGTATTAATGTGTAGAATGTGGTGACGTCATCGGTTTGAGTGTGGGGTTGAAATTTCTGCGGCTGCGAAGGTTCGAAGTAGTGAAAGTTCAGAGACCGGTCATTCGGAAATCGGTGGCCGATCTTCCGGAACTGAAAGTGGACGTTTATTGTACACCCGGTGTTGAGTACTTTCCGAAATTTTTGAGGTCATAGGACCCGAATTAAGTGAAATTTAGTGACTTTTTATACCCAATGTGGGCGGGTTTTGGAGGGATGCACCGGGCCCAATTTTAGTGATTTTTGAAATTTGAAAGTACCATCTGAAAAATGATGTTTTCAGCATAGACATATAAAAATTTGGTAAAGTTCTCTCCATTAGTAATTATTATAGAACGATTTTAGTTTTTAAAATTTTTGCCTCACTGGAAAAATTTTCAATTTTTGGCGGGTTCCCATAGCAAATATATTTAACATTTGCCGCGGGCGGAAATCTCAAGGCCTCTCTGAAGAAAAGAAGTCTGATTTTTTACTTGCTTGTTCTGGGAAATCTACTGTCTACCTTCTTGTGGTGATGCCTGCTATTTGGTGGTATGGCTTCTAAGCACGGGCGGTGCTAACCCGTGTTTCCGAAGAAGAGGAGGTAGCTGGGCTCGAGTCCGAGCAAGAGGGATTATTCTCTTCCCTTGCAAGTCAGCAGGAGGAGGGGCAGGTTGCAACAGTCATCACTGCTAAGCAGTTTGAAGCTGAACTGTTATAATAACTGAAAGCTAATTCCGGATCGAAGATCGGTTCGAGGGACCACATCTCGCAGAATATGGGAAACGTATCGAGGATAATAGATTTATTATCTGGGAGAGATGATATCTACAAGATGGTATCCAGTATAAAGTATAAACTGGATGAAATTAACAGTAAAGAAGTAAGAAAAGATGGAAGATCTTTTGCTCAGGTAGTGGCAGGTGTTCCATTGGTAAATAAGAAGATGGTTGAGCCAAAAGAAGTTGTTATTGTGCAACCTATTGAGAATGCCGAGGATGCAGAACAGACTAAGAAGATAATAATAGATAACGTTAAGCCTCATCTTTTGAAGACTGGGGTTAAAGGTTTTAAAAAATTAAATGGCGCAGTGGCAATTGAGCTTGATAAGAAAGAAGACAAACAAACATTACAGAAGGCAGTAGAGATCCCTGGCATAATAGCAAGAGAGCCAAAGAAAACATTACCGAAGGTGATCATCCACGCAGTACCCGAGGAAATAGACAAAATAAATCTGTCGAAGTATATAGATTATATGAACAGAATGAGGGTTTATCAGACCTCTATAAAGAGCTGGAACAGTTTAAGACTTTACGGTTAGGTTTGCCTTGGGAGGAAGGGACAGACCTACCTCCAGTTGGGTGGTAGACGTGAAGCCTAAGACACGGAATGGATTATTAAGAATAAAAAAGTTAAATGTGCAGTGGGTGAGGTGCCCAGTTGAGGATTTTGTACCAATAGTACAATGTTTCAATTGCTATAAAATAAGTCATTTCTCCCGTCAATGTAAACAAGAGACCCCCACCTGCAGTCAATGTGGGCAGGGACAGGTATAAAGATTGTTCGAATAGGAATACGATAAGAATGTGTACAAATTGCAAGAAAAATGAAAACCAAACAGATACGAGACATAACGCCTTGGACAGAAAGTGCCCTATAGTCCAAAGGATTAAATCAATTACAATAAGTAGAACAGATTATGGAAATGAACATTATTCAGAGAAGAGATCACTGTAGTTCAAGCGTATCAGCGAAAGGCGGTAGCGGCGACCTCAGAGATGAAAAAATGGCTGCAGAAAGCTGAGTTTGCATTAATTCAAGAACCATATTCGGTTAAAGGCAAAGTGGCTAGTTTAAGTAGGAGGCTACAAGTCATTCAGGCTGAGGCAGAGAGGCATTCGGCAATAGTGGTTGTCTCTAATTATAATATTGACAGGCCCGCCGTAAGCGGGCGTGCACCGCACGCGGGCGGCAAATTGAGCGATCGGTTACATAATATTCAAAGTCATTGTCATAATACCCACCCTACTTATAGCATAAGAAATGTCTTCGCATGGAGAAAAAAACTTCTA